CAAGGCCCGACATCAGTGCTGCAGTCGGTGTCATGGCCCGCAAATCCAACTGTCCGACAGTTGAGGACTGGTCTAAGGCAAAGCGAATTCTTCGCTACCTCAAGGGAGCTGCGACTTGGGTTTGAACTTTGCATGGAACGGGAAAGTGGTGAAGCCTGTGGTGCTAGGATATTCGGATGCAGATTGGGCAGGGCATTTGATCGACCGTAAGTCAACAAGCGGTACTAGCATCGTCATTAATGAAATCCCTACAGTTTGGAGGTCCCAAAAGCATACTGGGGTTGCCCTTTCATCGTGTGAATCGGACTATATTGCTTTATCTGAGTGCACGAAGTTGATCAAACGGGTGCGAGCACTCCTCGAAGAATCAGGCCTCCTGAAATACGGCCCGACAGTAGTGATGGAGGACAACACCGGTACGATTAAATGGTCCAAATCTGAGAAGATGTCTAAAAGCGCTGAACTCCGCCGCCATTTCGTTAAGGATGAATCGTCGAAGGGAACTATAGAGGTTCTTCACTGCAGGACCGAGGAGATGCTCGCCGACCTGGTGACGAAGGGATTGACTACCGAGCGCGTACGCTTCCTACGTGAAGCTTTGTGCATTGATGACATTGTTTCTGAGAGCGAAGTTGAGGAGGGGTGCTGATACGTGAACTTCCCTTCAAGTGGTCTCGCATTAAGTCAGTAAAATCTAAGCTCATCGCGCAGTACTGATGTTGGTCAACAATTGTCGAAGTGATTTAAGGTACCTTGCTGCGTCTGGAGCCGCCCCCAACTGATAGAAGTACGATATCGTAATTCGCAACACTCCGCACATGGCTGGGTAGCAGCCAGGAGACGTAAACACCTGTGATTGGCAATGAACACAAGTAGCGCATGGGTGCCGTTCTCATAGATGAACCACACATGTCAGCGTCCGCGCGGGATGGGCGGCACTGCCGACTGTCACTCGGTGGAGATCACTGTAGTCCCCGAGCGCTAAATGGCTGGGAGAGCTCCTGCGCCGGACGCGGCGCATATGTGCTCGGGGATAGGCTCACAGGAGACAGGTGTCCCCTACCGCAGCTGAGACTGAGGGGGCCGGGAGAGTGGCAGCGCTACCTAAATAAACGACTCTGCCAGCGCTTCTCTAGGATGGGGAAGGCAGAGGGGGATAGACTGTCCCTGTACGACTTGCTGCGGCGGAACTGAGGAAAAAGCACGAGTACGCAACAAAGCGCTTTGCCCTTTCGAAAGTGCAACTTTATGAATTTTTCTTGGCCACGCTCACGACAATTTACGTGTGTACAGGGTCAGCATGTCTTCATATGGCGTCGTTTCAACAGTTACTGCTCCTGTCTTGAAACAAGTTACTCAGTCCTATCTGATCGAGTTTGAGACTGAGTTTGAAGCCCACAAGGAGAAAGTAGCTGACGTAAATCGCAATCGTGACGCATCTCGCCACCTTTCTCCTGCATCCGTGCGGCAATGTATGGAACCAACCTTATTGCACAGCCTCTGCATTTTGGGACAGATCGAAGGTGCGGAGGAGCTTCCCGATGCAACTGATGCCTCTGTAAATAAATGGTTTGAGGAAATACTTGCTACCGAGCGGGAAGATTTGACAGAACGGGTCAGGTCTGCACTTGACGCGATTAAGTACACAGTTGATAACAAGGATTCGAGTGGGGCTGCGCTCACATTTGTTGTAGAAGTGGTCAAATCTCTCGATAAGAACAACGCCTCAGAAGTTCTGAAGGATAAAGTAACCTGTAAATCTTTAATCAATAAGCTTGTTCGTAAGCTCGAACCAGCCGAACTCCGAGAGCGGATCTTCGATGCGAGAGACTGCTGGACATCCACTCAGCGCTCTAGTATTTCCTTTTTACAGGCTAGGGTAAGTGCTATAGCGGTTGAGGTATCTCAAGGTGAGATCGCCCGCGCACGGATCCAGCGCCGAAGTGGTAAGCGAAACAGAGATGACCACATTGGCAAAGAAAAGAACCCGAAAGGTAAATTTCAACCCCGAAAAGAGAAGAGAGACAAAAATCGACTGCAGTACGCAGACAGGTCTACTGCAACAAAAGGTTCCGCCTGGGATAAACCGTGTCTGAATCCGGACTGCTCTGAGCTTCATCCGCTTTCTAAGTGTCAAAATACTCCGGATGACACGAAGAAGGATCTTTTCGCCAACTACCGAGCTGAGAAGCGTCGGAAGGGACATGAAAACCCCAAATTGAGCGTCGTGCGTGAACGTCCTGCAGAGTCGGACCTGGATGAGTCGAAGGGGCGGTATAGTGTGGTACTTGAGGACGAATTGGACGCTATAGCTCTTGGGGATTATGGGGCCGACGCAAGCGCACTGCCTCTCTCAATGCTGCATCGTTTGAAGAACACAGTGAAAGAACTAGTGGTCACTACCGTAAGACCCCCTTGTGAATTATCTGCAGCTATCAATAGTACTGCATCTCATCCTATCCATTTCACAGCTTCGCACAAAGTGACTCTATCAGTCACAATCATGTGCCAGACTCCAACCTCCCTGTCCGCATCCATGGCGTCCCTTTCTTGGTGGTTGATCAAGATGTGGACGAAATCTTTCTGGGGAGGCCGTTCCTCAGAAAAACCGGTTTCGATTTGAAGAGTCACCTGAGGGAAGTGGCCTCACAATTACACGAAAAGGACTATGGAGATCTCAACCCAGACGAAATTAAAGTGTCGTTGGCAACGTATCAAGGGCTGCGATACGACAGTGTCGCTGATGATCCAATTTCGCTCCCCGACTCCGCTGGGGCCAGCATTGGTAATGACTCCAGGGAAGAGATTGAGTCGGCTTTTATGTCTAGCAAGCGGCAAGCCAGCAAGAATGGAATGTCTGCTAATGGTGTCGCCGAAATGGGGCGCTTGATGGACAAGTTCAGAGAGGTCTTTCGGATCAAGCTGGGCCGTGATCCCCCAGCGTCAGTTCGACCTCTGCAGATCGCTCTGAAGGCGAAAGCTCGCGTCCGTAGGGCATCCCAACGCCGGCACGCCCCACCACAGCACGCTTTCATTTGTAGCACCATCAAAAAGCTTGAGGAAATAGGAGCAGTCTACAAAAATCCCACCTCTCAATGGGCAAGTCCTGCACTTGCAGTGGCGAAGCCCGGTAAAGAGGGTTTCCGTTTTACTGTAGACCTCCGTGGCCCAAACGCAGAGACGGAACCCATCGCCTCGGCTTTGCTACATCTCGAATCTCTCTTACAGTCAGTTCAGGGAAGCACATGCTTCGCAAAAATGGACATGGCCCACGCCTATTGGCAGCTCCCTCTCCACTCTTCATCTCAAGAAATGATGTCAATTCAAACTCCCCTCGGTGTCTACTCCCCTACAAGGCTCCTGCAAGGCGGAACTGACGCTGGTAATCATTACCAAGCAGTTACCCAGGGCCTTTTCCAAGACGAGCTCCGTCACGAGCTCCTTCAATGGCTCGATGATTTCCTTCTACATTGCCGTAACGAGGCGCATCTTCTTCGCTCCCTTCATATTTTCCTGCGCACGTGCAAAAGCTACGGTCTCAAGATACACGCGGAGAAATCTGAGCTCTTCGCTAGACATGCCCGTATTTGTGGGCCGGACATCTCATCTGAGGGCGTTACCTTCGCCCCCAAAAACCTAAACATTATCCTTCAAATGAACAAACCCACGTACGCGGGTGAACTGCAGCAGCTCTCGTGTGCCTCTAACTGGATGAGAGCTTCCATACCGGCATACTCCTCTGTTGTTGCTTCATTGCACGCCATTCTCGAAAACATTTACAAGGTGAAAGGTTCCCGTACTAAGCGCGCCATATCGAAAGTATCCTTGAGTGGCTATTGAGGGATTGAGCAAGACAAATCTTTCGACTCTATAAAAAGGCAAATAGCCCGCTCAACGAGAATCGCTCACCCCAAGGCAGATCATGCACTATGCCCCTTCACTGACGCTTCCGAGACTCACTGGTCAGGAATCCTGACACAAGTGCCGGACGAGCAGCTAAAGAAGCCGCTTGAGGAGCAGGAACATGAACCGCTCTCTTTCCTCTCCGGAAGTTTTACAGGGGCTTCTTATGCATAGGAAGCCCCTGTAAAACTTCGACCACCGCAAAACCTTCCTTTTCTGGAACAGTCCATCCATGGATGGACTGCTCCAGAGAAGGAAGGTTCTGCGGTGGTCGAATCCATGTGCAAGCTAGACTACTTGGTGATGGGAAGAAGAGTAGCGATATTCACGAACCACGCCAACTTGGTCTACCTATTTGATCCACATGGGCAGAACCCAGGCATACCACGGCATACAGCGAGCAAGCTCATGTGATGGGCTTTAAAATTTGAGCGCATTCAGGTACGTCATTGAGTACCTCGCAGGAGAAAGGAATGTGTGGGCCGACATACTTTCACGATGGGCTGTTCAACCCAACAGAAAACTACCAGCTGCTAACTTGAGGTCATTATTGGTTGCTCCCATTACTCCATCTCTGGACTTCAAATTGGATTGGCAGAAAGCGGACGACATTATCAAGTCCCAGGCGAAGCACGAAGAGCCACCGCCTTCCCGCTTTGAGAAGGTCAATGAAATCTGGCAGGACAAGAGAGGAGTGGTCTGGGTTCCTACTCAGGACAGACTCATGAGGCTACGGATCATGGTGGCGGGTCACACAAGATACGGTGGGCACAGAGGGTACCGTACTACCCAGGTAACTGTGAAAGCGTACTTCTGGTGGAAAGAAGTCACGGCAGACGTAGAACACTTCGTGAAATCTTGTCTGCACTGTCTCGCGACTGAGACTGGGGAATCAGTTCCTCGCCCTATGGGCCATGCCGTACACGGTGATAGGCCAAATGCTCTATTACATTTTGACTACTGCTACATGATGAAGGGATTAAGAGACCTTAGACATGTGCTGGTTCTCAAAGACGACTTCAGTGGTTACGCTTGGCTGCGTCCTACACAAGAAGCCGACGCCGATACAACTGCACAGGCTATGCTAGATTGGTTTGCTTCTTTTGGAGTTGTTCACTACTAGGTTTCGGACAGAGGAACACACTTTAAGAATGAGGTCGTGCGAACTTTGCGCGAGCAGACAGGAGGATCTCACCACTTCACATTAGCATATTGCCCTTGGAGCAATGGCACGGTCGAGGTGGTATGCCGAGAACTGTTACGTGCCACGCGAGCGCTGCTCCCAGAATTCTAATTCCGGCACAGATCCTGGCCTAATGTCATACCTGTAGTACAATCGGTACTTAATTCATCCCCGCTGCAACACTTGGGTCGTCGCTGCGCCCTCAACGTATTCACTGGGCTTCCCCAGGACACAACATTGCGCTCCGTCACGACTAGGATTGGAGGTTCTGTTCGTGTCCGATCGATTGATGAAGTCCACTCTGAACGGCTCGTCCGAATTGACAAAACGCAGCGCGCCCTCGCCGAAATGCACCGCGACGTGAAATCTCGAACAACAGCCACACGTGAGAAGGAGATCCAAAGACACAATACGCGGACCAACGTACGTCCGATCAACTTCATCGCAGGAGATTTTGTGCTGCAAGGCAGCTTTCAAAAGATCAGAGGAACCAAGCCAGCGGTCAAGTGGACAGGCCCATACAGAGTTGTTTCTTGCCTCTCTGAGTACATTTTTCTGGTCGAGGATCTTTGTCTGGGAAAAGAACTGAATTGCACGGACGCAGGCTTAAATATTTCAGGAATAAGGAATTCGAAGTAACCGAGGAAGTCAGAAATCAATTGGCTTACCAACAGAACGAGCTCCTTCTCGTAAGCGACTTTCACGACATTCGTCAAGTAGTGGAAAAAGTGGAATTGCTCACCCAGTGGCGAGGTTTCGACATTAGCGAAAGCTCGTGGGTTTCTCTGACATTGCTAAGAGAGGACGTGCCGATACTTTTGGATGAGTATATCCAGGACGTACGCAAGAATGGCACGCCTCGTCAACAGAAGTTGGGGGCGTCCCTGTGACGATGCCACGGCTCGGCCTTCCGGCCCGACGATGCATGGGGGACTGCTGCGTCTGGAGGCGGCCCCAACTGATAGAAGTACGATATCGTAATTCGCAGCACTCCGCACCTGGATGGGTGGCAGCCAGGAGACGTAGACGCCTGTGATTGGCAATGAACACAAGTAGCGCATGGGTGCCGTTCTCATAGATGAACCACACATGTCAGCGTCCGCGCGGGGTGGGCGGCACTGCCGACTGTCACTCGGTGGAGATCACTGTAGTCCCCGAGCGCTAAATGGCTGGGAGAGCTCCTGCGCCGGACGCGGCGCATATGTGCTCGGGGATAGGCTCACAGGAGACAGGTGTCCCCTACCGCAGCTGAGACTGAGGGGGCCGGGAGAGTGGCAGCGCTACCTAAATAAACGACTCTGCCAGCGCTTCTCTAGGATGGGGAAGGCAGAGGGGGATAGACTGTCCCTGTACGACTTGCTGCGGCGGAACTGAGGAAAAAGCACGAGTACGCAACAAAAAGGGATTGACTACCGAGCGCGTACGCTTCCTACGTGAAGCTTTGTGCATTGATGACATTGTTTCTGAGAGCGAAGTTAAGGAGGGGTGTTGATACGTGAACTTCACTTCAAGTGGTCTCGCATTAAGTCAGTAACATCTAAGCTCATCGCGCAGTACTGATGTTGGTCAACAATTGTCTAAGTGATTTAAGGTACCTAGCGAGAGATGTAATGATATCCGGTGATTACTCCTGCCTCCTGATTGTAATTCTCTATTCATGTTTTGTACTACAGTACTGGGATAACATGTTTGATGTGAGTGTGTAGATCTTTACTTCGTTGTGGATGAACTGATACAGTACCCTTCTCACTGGGGCATTTTGGAACATGGGAATTTTGAAACACCCCTAATTTTGAGACCAGCCTGCGTAGCGTTCCACCTTTCATTGCCCCCGCAGATCTGCGGTTCCTATGGAACCTGTATCTACAAACCGCACTCCAGGACACGTTTGAACGCGCCATTGACGACGCGCATAGGCACCATGCCACCATCTATGCGAGCGCAGTCGCTAGCACACAAGCGAAGAATAGCAAACGCCCATATTGAACGACAGCGGCGCCACCGAGCGCTGGATCTCCTCAAAAAAGGATACAGCATTCGGAAGACCGCTTCGCTCAGTGGTGTATCCAACACAACAGCTTTTCGTATCAAGAAAAACTTCACTACAGGAGACGATGTTGCGCTGAAAAAACTGCTTGACCCCCTAAATTATCGACCAGGCCCTGCTCAGGTTATATCAACTCCAGAAGAAGAGCTTGTTGTTCAAAGGGCACTCGTCGGCGCAAAGAGAGGCTTCGTAATCGATAACAACGACCTGGTCTCAGTTTTTGCACAAATTAGCAGTGATGGTCGCCAACCGTTTCGGCGAGGTGTTCCATCCCCGGACACAATTCGTAGTTTCAGAGCCCGTCACAGAGAGCTCGGGTACATGGTCTCCGAAAATGTTTCTGCGGCACGTTTAGCTTCAGAAAATGTATCGCACATCGGAAGTCTTGAAACCGTACTCCAAACCGTGTGTTCAGAATTCCCAGAATTCAAAAATGACCCCAAACTAATATGGAACTTTGACGAAACGGCATTGCTTGAAGAGTACGGCAAAAAATAAGGTGTTATGCAGCATCGCAGAGCTGTAGCGGAGGAGCCCGTATTGCTGTTAAAGACGCCGGAAAGCATCTAACAGCTGGTATTGCCATTGCCGCGGATGGTCATGTTGCCCCTCTATTCATAATCGCATCTGGAAAAATGTATGTGAAGCTGGAAGAAGCCATTACCAGAGGAAAATTTTACTGACAAGGTGGGAATTGTCATTGGCTTTGCTCAGATGATTGGTGGCCTAAGAAAACAACGGTTTCTCTAACAAAAAAGGCTCAATTGATAGAACAGTAATTGTCGATGTCATCAAACACATTGACACTCATGCAAGAAAAACCATACCCCATTCGAAGAAAATTTTGCTTTTGGTTGATGGAGATAGCTCACGTCAGAGTAAAGAATGGATAACTGAATGCAGAAGGCGAAATATCATAGCCGTTAAACTTCCAGCCAACACTACACATATCCTGCAACCATGCGACCAATCAGCAAATCAGGCGTTCCAAAGGGAGATCAGGAGGACAAGGGACCAGCTGTTGGCAATAAGTCACTTCTCCTGGACGAATACTGCAATGAAAGTAAAGTTTGCAATTGCGGGACACAAACCCGTGACCTCAGATGTGGCAAGAAAATCGTTTCAAGAAGCAGGCATATGGCCTATGAATTTTCAATTCATGAAAAGATTCGATAATGCCCCTCCTGGATCATCTCCAACACACTTAATAGATGTACATGAACCTCGAGCAGACACTTTTGGGGTATCGGAGGCTTCAAAGTATCCTCGTAGACAAGCTGCGTGTGTTTTGACCGACAGAATCAAAACACTACTGAACAGCGGCATGACGGCAACACGTGCATTGGGTGAAATTGCTGTTTTGATGAAAACTTCTTACGTTGTGAACAATATATTGTCTCACGCCATTTCCCCTTCACTGCGAGCGGGCAGCAAAACAAACCGGAGAAGGGTCAGTGTTGAGCCCAAGTCTGCACTGCTTCTCACGAATCGATCACTCACGTGCAATGAAACCATGAATGACTATGGACCGGCTACGGATATGGAAACACCTGTGGGAGCCCCAAAAACACTCTTGGCTACCTTCACATCAACGATGGAGAATGAAAAAGAAAATACACATCCCAATATTCCTCGAAGAGTGGTATCGGATAGCTTAGAGATCGACGAGAGCTCAAGCGACGACACACCTCGGGCATATTTGCGTAGACAGAAAACTAGGCGGGCAGGAAGTGGCCAAAACGATGACGGTCCGGAGCAGACCCATGTGGCTGTACGTGGTCTACTTCATCTTTCGAGAATGCGTTGAATAACACGAAGTATGGGCTTTGCCGGGTGTTCCGTAGTTCCCCCGCCGCTCATGAGCCATTTATCGCACAAAAATGTTGCCACGAAAATCAGGGAAAATTTACAGACTTTTGACGATTCCTAAGAACACGGAAAGTGTTCCACAATACCCCAGTGAGAAGGGTAGTCTATATACTTTGTTTGTGCGCACATTAAAGTAAATGGGCTCACCCAACGATCCCACTTTTCAGCAGTGACTAGTGCTGAAGCAAATATATCTCTCAAGATCGCGTCACAAAAAACAATACAACACAATACCGCCTTAGCGTGTTGTGTTTGTACTGCTGTCATACTATATGGTTATTGCATCAATCTCAAGCTGCCAAGACTATTCCGTCCATTTCTACACAACTTCTGTGAAACTTAGGCTATGTTCAAGTAATTATCTAAGTACATGGCTTTTGCTCAAAAAGCCTCCTTGGACCACCTCCCGTATCTCGAGATTTATTTGAGTTGTCAGCTTCCTCTCACTGAATGTGCAGCATTTCTATGTGTGTGACGTCCCACTCTTTCTACCAAGTACCTCAATCGCTTCAATTTGTTTTATCGCTCAGTTCTCGTTCTCTGTTCTCTGCTTTGCATCCCTTTGACAGTTGCTCAGTGAATTAGTTGTAAACGTTCTCTTGCTGCTTGTTTTCAGATACTGTAGCTCACACTGTTCTCGATCCTCGTCCGTTAGACCCTGCTACCACCTGCGCTAGTTTCTACGTTGCACCGTTATTCGGTCCTCTATGCGCACGTTTCTTAACTTCTCTCGGGTCGTTGTAAACAGCAATCCATTGATGTGTATCCACGTTTCTGAAGATCAAGAAACGTACATGCTCAGCCTCGGTGTAGGCCGGGGCCGGCCCTGCCCCTGTCATCGACAGGGCGAGTTATGAGTGCTATTTCATTAGAAATTGAGGTGATTCCTTCGTATGACTCTCAGTCATTCCTCCCTCATGTCGTTGGCCAGCGGCACCTCCCCTTTTGCTCAGTCGTTATCGCAGAAATGTTACGATACACTGAAATAAAAACTACAAATATCGTGACTTGCGACAAGGACAACCCTTCCGTTTCATAAATGTGAAGAGAAGTCAGGTGGGATATGACTTGTGCTATCCCGTCTACTCCGCCGAATTTGCCACATTGCGCCAACTTCTACTCTAAGACAACACATCAGAGACCGATTAAACAATGAAAATGAACGAAGACTGGAGCACTTCTCGTTTACTGTACGATTGGAAGGGCGTCAAAGAGTAGGCTAGCCATTAATGCGGAGAAAAACAACTCGCCAGAGCGAAGCGGTAGTCTTCTCAATGCACATCCCAGTTCCGTCACAACACACACAACTCGCATTACTGTTGTTAGTAGCAGCAGCAGGCACCTGACGTGCCTCCCGTGCTGCAGGTATAGACACGGCAGCTGCTTAATCTGCGACCGCACTCGGCGAGGGCGCTATCAACGTTGGTGCGGCAGACACACGGGCAGGTTGCAGCTTCGGTCTGGACAAACATGACAGCGAAGAGAGCGAAGAGAGCGAAGATAGACATGAAGCTGCGAGACATTTTG